TTAAACCAATTAAGTCCATTGGTGAGTTAAGTCCTCTAAAAGAGAAGGAAGTGGCAAACAAGAGGTAGTTTAAGGCAAGGGAGAGGTGTCATGCCATTAATAACGAACCCCTAAGGATTAGTCCACTTACGTGATATATGTGGGTCCCATACAGTTGTTAGGTTAGTTTAAACATGTCTTTGGATTAGGATAGTAGAGTTCGGAATCTACTGGGGAACCCAATGTGTAGGTTTTGGTTACCTAATTGTATGGAACTAAGTTTTTTGTGAGTAGGCTATTATAAATAGTCGTGGAGACTATAGGTTTTGGTGAGATTAAGAGGAGGATAAAATAGAGATGTAAGGGTGACAAAAAATACCGTGAAGGCACCGGGGTTAACGAGGGCTCAACTACTCTTGAGCATGGGATTCGGGTAGTGATGTGGGTTTTGAGTGTGTTGACCATCTCACATGTATTCTTTATTTTTATTCATATTGAAATCTGTCTCCCGTGGATGTTGGCAATTGGTGCCAACAACATAAATCTGTTTGATTGTTTTTCTCTTTGGTGTGTGCATTGTGTGCTTTCATTCACATTGGTGGGATGTGGTATAATAAATCTCAACATTTTCTTCAAAGTTTCCCTTTATTTAGTTCAAATGCGACATATACCTTGTGGGAAGCAACCTTTTTTGTTTTTGTTTTTTTTCTTGACAGTCAAGTTATTGCCTATTCATTAGCATTTTTTTACTGCCCCTAACAGATTATTGTACTAAGTGATAGCTTTGTGCATATCTCTGAATCATCTCATTGAAGAATTCACATTTTCCAGCTTTGCAATTTCTAGAGACTCGCCATTCTCATTGAACAGCCCACCTCAAAACTCTCAAACCTTAAAAAAAAATGGAAAAAACCCTAAAGAAGAATTTTTCTGTCTCCCTCACCACGAATCATTCTTGTATGATTGTTCCTTCGTTGGGAATCTATTGCTTGCTAGTTGAAATTGTTTTCCTCACCACCAATCATCCTTGTATGATTGTATTCCTTAATTGATATTCTCTGACAATTTTCTTTCGCATTTATCCCACACCATTTTTTTTTTGTATGGAATCTTTAAAATGATTTTGTTCAAGGACAATATTGATTCGGTGGCTCCTTTGGAAAACGAAATTGTGTCTCACTTTGTGTTGAACAACCTAGAGGCTGGTGGTGTTATGTGTTCTATAGTTCCCAACCTCGAAACCCAAATAATTTTTAGAACCACTGCCGACATTTCTCGTTTTGGCACCTCTTACAACTAATAATCAAAGTTTTTAAAGGCAAATGTGTAACGCAAGGCATTTTACCTCTTGTGAGGATAGGCATAATCCTCAAGAGACATTGAGGCATATGAATTTTGAATTTTGTATTAAAATAGTGAAAAAAATTAAAAATTAAATATGCTATAAGTACTTTTCTCTGTAAGTCATCAAAATATTTCATTGTAGAGATGGAAGCTTGCCCTCATCAAAGGTGAAATTGGCACTTTTAGCTTAAGTTATCGAGCTTTTCACTCTCAGTGGCAAAAAATTCCTTCTTGGTTGACGTTTCTTGCTCAGAAACACGATTCTCAGCTCCCAAGGAAGAAACCTGTAAGAAACTCGCTTCCATTGAGGAAGAAACTCACACCCAACTGAGATAGAACCTCTCAAACATACAAATCTCAAAGAAATAAGAGAAAAGAAACTCAAACTTATTGTCAACTTTTTATTTATACTTAGCAAAAACAATTTACAGCTGACATCAATCTCCAATAGTAATTCATATTTTAACACATAATTACAACTAACAAACATAAACATCAGTGATCTTAAAACGAATTCACTGCAGTGGGACTTGCATAAGTATTTTGTACTCTTTTTTTTTAATGCGTTTTTATTTTCCTCTGCTTTCTATATTTTTGCTCAATCACTGTATGAAAATTTCCAGGATGACGAAGATAGACCAAATCGGAGATGCAAGAAGAGAGCGGTGTCAAATCAAGATAGTCCTCCTTCCATCACTGACAGAGAACCAAAAGATGCTTACCAGATGCCACTGTCAGATTTTGACTACGAGTAATATGGTGTTCAAAGGAATCAAGGTTTGACATTAAGCAAATTAAGCACATGGGGTTCTCGAAGTAAAGATCAAAGTGTATCTCCATTGTGATTATACTGATTTTTGGTCATAGGTGTATCAAGTAACTAGCAAATGGCTGCCCAACATATATACATAGATCATTTAGAAATTATACCCCGAATTTTGGGAACCTGTTTGAATTGATAGTTTGTTTTAGTCTCAATGTGTGACTGAATCATAACTTTGGGATAATTTTTTATTTACTTGTTACCTTCAAGAGCTGCATTACCTTTCTTATCTGGAAAAGGAAGCACATATGTGCTTGTATCACTAAGTTGTAAAATTTTAGTGAAAAATTCTCATGAAGTTGATTGAGGAGATATGTGAAATTTTAGAAGGTTAATTCCCATAAAAGAAAATTTTCAACATGTTTAGAATAATATATTGTTCAAATTTAATGGAGTCTTAAGGTTAATTTCATGTGCCTCCCTGAGATTTGGCAAGATAATATCTAGCCCCCAAAGGTTTCTAAGTAGGAAGGGTTGGACATGGGTGTCTCCATTGAGTCTTGTTAAAAGATAAATGTGGGTGAAAGCAAATGAAATGTAACTTTATTTTGTACATATGTTATCCAATTATTTTTTTATTTTTATTTTAATCGCTACTCAAATCTATGATTCAAACACAACTTAAAAATATAAGTATGTTCTTTTCATGATTTGAAATAAGGACCTCTTTAACCATAATGCCCACGTGTAACAAATTGTTTTTACATTTTAAATTTTGATTTACCAATTTCAATTATGTGCTGATTTATCTCTCAGAAGGGTCATATGACACATGCGTTGCATGTGCATTGATTGATAATCCAAAAAATATAAAAATTGCTGTTTAGTTCTTCATGATACTCTCTGTATATAAATATATGTATATGTATATATATAATAACGTGGATATTAGATAAGATATATGTATGTATATAATAACGTGGATATTAGATTTTTATCTAGAGGCTGTGTTGATGACAATGGATAAAAAGTTGAGGAGTGATGTTTATTTGCACTTTGTGGAACTATGATTTATCTTTGGTAAAAAGTTGAAGAGTGACATTTATGAAGACTGTTGATAAAAATGAAAGAAAGTGAATTTAGTTTATGGAAAATGTCTCGTAACTCAAATTTTGTGGCTAAAAAATGGCTCAAATGGCCAAAACGACGTCGTTTTGGCCATTTTTATGTTGTTCTGTACTCAAAACGACGTCGTTTTGGCCATTTTTATGTTGTTCTGTACTCAAAACGACGTCGTTTTGGCCATTTTTATGTTGTTCTGTACTCAAAACGACGTCGTTTTGGCCATTTTTATGTTGTTCTGTACTCAAAACGACGTCGTTTTGGCCATTTTTATGTTGTTCTGTACTCAAAACGACGTCGTTTTGGCCATTTTTATGTTGTTCTGTACTCAAAACGACGTCGTTTTGGCCATTTTTATGTTGTTCTGTACTCAAAACGACGTCGTTTTGGCCATTTTTATGTTGTTCTGTACTCAAAACGACGTCGTTTTGGCCATTTTTATGTTGTTCTGTACTCAAAACGACGTCGTTTTGGCCATTTTTATGTTGTTCTGTACTCAAAACGACGTCGTTTTGGCCATTTTTATGTTGTTCTGTACTCAAAACGACGTCGTTTTGGCCATTTTTATGTTGTTCTGTACTCAAAACGACGTCGTTTTGGCCATTTTTATGTTGTTCTGTACTCAAAACGACGTCGTTTTGGCCATTTTTATGTTGTTCTGTACTCAAAACGACGTCGTTTTGGCCATTTTTATGTTGTTCTGTACTCAAAACGACGTCGTTTTGGCCATTTTTATGTTGTTCTGTACTCAAAACGACGTCGTTTTGGCCATTTTTATGTTGTTCTGTACTCAAAACGACGTCGTTTTGGCCATTTTTATGTTGTTCTGTACTCAAAACGACGTCGTTTTGGCCATTTTTATGTTGTTCTGTACTCAAAACGACGTCGTTTTGGCCATTTTTATGTTGTTCTGTACTCAAAACGACGTCGTTTTGGCCATTTTTATGTTGTTCTGTACCCAAAACGACGTCGTTTTGGCCATTTTTATGTTGTTCTGTACTCAAAACGACGTCGTTTTGGCCATTTGAGCAACTTTTGAGCTACAAAATTTGAGTTACGTAACTTTGTCGTTATCTTATTTAGTTTCTTTATCAAATCAAGTTCTATCCTTCATGACTATCCAATATATCTAGATATATATATATTTTAATCCATCACTTCAATTTATTGCTCATAAAAAACAAATTAATGAGCATAGGAGGAAATAAAATAAAAAAGAAAAACTCCATACATAACAAAAGTTTCTCGTTGAGCATGAAATTTCTTTTTATCGCAATCTTTTTAGCAATCAATGTTAATTTTACATTTTATCCCTCTATTTTAAAATTTTCTACTTCATGTTAGTAGATAGTGAAATTTCTTTGTAATCTACAAACAATATGAAATATGTTTTTTCATTTTGTAGCATTTAATTTTGGATTTTTAACTTTTAATTTTATCATAGATAATAAAAATTTCATTGCTCAAAAATAAATAGCATAGTGAAATTTTGTCATTTTCTTCAAAATTTCATATTCAATACGAACTCTTATTGAATGGATTCGACAAGCGTAGTCCAAAAAATATTATTTAAAAAACAAAGAAAATTTAAATTAAGAGTTACAATATTTTAAAGTTAAAAAAATGAAATTAGTTGTTTCAATAATTGGGTTGTGTGCGTTGCATGTGTTGTCCTTCTCACAAAAAAATTATTTTTAACGACAATTTTATCAAGACTTATTTTCAATAGGACTTGATTGGAATTAAGTCAAACTATTAGGACCTATTGGTAGTTTACTCTATAACTTATGGTTTTGTTTGTTTCTTATAAAAAAATCTTATTACAAGGGGTCTATTATAAAAAAAATTCCAACTTTTATTGCTCAGACCTTGTATTAAAAAAATCTCTATGGATATGAACCAATATAGGGGTGTGATTGGGTTAGTTTGGTTTAAGTTGACATTAAATTTAGAGCCAACTTAAATGAATCATGCACTTGAACCAAATCAATCCAATCCAAAAAAATAATCAATCAATAATAAATAATTAAAATAAATAAGTCTTTAATATTTAAATATAATGCAAACATAAAATAAATATTGTTTAATACAAGCCAACTGTTGTGAATAATATAATGAACTCCAACTCAAGCTTAAATACAACCTATACAAATCAAATCCAATAATAAAATAAAATTAAGTACCATGAATTCCAACTCTAACTTCTAGTATTTTCTTCCTCCACTTCCCATTGGTCAATATCCTATCGACTGAAAATCAAAATAAATAGTGAGAAATGATTAGTTTCAATCAAGTCCATTAGAATGGACCAATTAGGCAAAAACATGCCAATATAAATTGAATCTTATAACCAAAAATCAACCCAAACCCATTGGATTGAAGAATTGAAAACTCTAAACTAAACCAATGTATTCAAAAAATCAAACCAGTCCAATCTAAAGAGGCTGGTTTGGTTTGGTTTAGTTTTTTGATTCTATGGTAATTTGTCCACCCCTAAACCAATATAAAGGCAAAAAAGCATAGAGAGATATATCAACAAATTTTATGATGAAAATTAATGAGGGGGATGTGAAAGAAATGATAAGAGACCCAGCTATGCTTTCGTCTCTTGGGAAAGGATCATACGAAATTAAGAAATTGACCGAATGTTGAGGGAAGACACATGTCACACTTTGTTAAAATCTTTTCCTTCTTCACCATGATCCCTAGAAGCTTGTTCTTAAATGATTCGCTCATTTCTTCAATTTTAAATTCTTTGAGGGTATCAATGAATCTTAGGCCCACTGGATCCATTTCCAGTCCTTGGCAATAATGAATGGCTAAAACAGAGAGCTTGGGCAGGGCTCCTCTTTCCACCTCCCACTCTTTAAAGTGCATCAAACAATGGAGTTGTAGGGCTTTGAGTTGGGGGAAACCATTAGCTGAGCAAACCATTTTGTCCCCTACAAAGGCATCAAAATCTAAATTGAGGAATTGTAGGCAAAGTAGCCTCTCCAATGTTGGCATAGGGTCTTCTTGAAGTTTACATGAGCACAACTGTAACTTGATGATGCTGTGAGAGAAATCTTGTTACTCTGGTAACTCAGGAATAAATCCAAATATAGACAATTTGTAAAGATGGCGGCACCCTAACAGTTGTTTGAGAATAGTCAACTCTTCTCTTCGAAGGAAAAATAAACTGATAAGGATGTTTGTCGGAGATGGTTAGCACTGATGTTTAGGTAGTCGATGAATGCCACAAAGTCCTGACTGTTGTCTGTCTCCTAGAAAGTTGCCTCTAGTTGCCGAAGATTGATTAATTTGAACAGATCATTGACGTCACACCCCCATGTGTTGAACCCTTCAAATGTCTCGAGGTTGCTCAACTCATCCAATTTGAATTTGTTTCCGAAATTCCAGTTCGAAGAAACAAACAAATGCCTCAATCCTTTCATTGAATGTAAGATTATTTCTTCACCTAAGTTGAAATCACAACCTCGAAAATCCAAGGTTTGCAAGTATTTCAACTGGCAGATATACGAATGCCATTTCGGTATGAAACAACTTCTAAAACTCAAGTATCTCAATCTAATTAGGTTACCTATTGATTCTACTGACTTTTCATCAAACTTAAATCCTTCAAGATCAAAATTCCTAAGCAATTTGAAGTGCTTGAAATGGGATTTGGAACTTTATTAAAGACTTGTTGTCACGTCTTGGATTGCAGAACAATATTGATCTTAGCTGTTTAGTTGTCCCTAAGTCAGGGAGGACAACTCTTTTGAATCATCTCAAGAAAATCATTCATTTTTGCCTCTGATAAACACAGATCCAGCATAAGGTCATGAATGCGGCAATAATCGATACTTTGAGTATGCTTTTGTACTTGTACTTGAACCATGCACCTCTGAGCAAGCGCATCCAAGTAACGTTTTGCCACATCCATTATTGTTTCATCCCCCATTCTCTCACCATCTACAATTATACCTTCACCTTGTCTTTTTGCATCTATCTCAGAATTCTCCAGAAAGTGACCAAAATATAGAAAACATAGCTTCAATCGATAAGACAAATCGTGGTAGCTTAAAACTAATACCTTTGATACTCCAGCGAAGGCGCTCCATTTATGCGAACAAACATTTTGGTATACCATCTCCCATTCCTTAATGTATGCTTTGCTACCAAAAGTCCACCAAGCATAATGATTGCTAACGGTAAACCACCACACAACTTTACCATTTCCCTCCCTAATGCCTCCATATTTGTATCAAGCACTCCGGAGTCTACAAAAGCAACAAAATGCAAAATTTAAAAACAACAAAAAATAGATTACTGCCTAGAGACTATAAAACAAAAATGAAAATTTTAATGAATGCATGCGTGAATAAGCAATAAAAAAGAAAAATTTGCTGACTTTTTTGAGTGCCAAATCAAGTTTTTTAGCATGGGCCTTTTATACATAGATAGATAGATAATTTCAAAGCGAGCTTGTAATATGGACTGATTTTTAAACACTTTTTTTTTTTTTTTTGCAAAATCAAATCGGTTGATAATTTAAATTTTATTTAAAAATTTTGAATTTCCGTATTCTCAAGTATAAAACTCAAAATATTAGTTATAAAATTACTAATCAAACTTGCATAATTAAATTTAACAATCAAATCCATTGAATCATTCTTGTGACAAGTTGACCAATGGTGCGATTTAATAAATTTCAATGTTAAAAAGTTTATTTCCTCAGAAACAACTGTAGCAGGTATAGTCAATAACATTCTATACACAAACTATATATTTGGAAAATAATCATCCATTAGTTTTAAATAATTTACTACATCAACGAGCTTTTTTGTTTCTATTTACGGGATAGGTTTTTAAAAACTTTTTTTCAACCAATTTTTGGGGTCCAAAATAGCCGTTCTCTCAACTTTGCCTCAAAGTCAAAGCTGTTTACATTGATACTTGCATCTTTTCAATGAAAGGTACTATATCAACAAAGAAGAAGAAAAAGGATTTCTCAAATTCATGCAGGGATTTGGCGCAGAGAGAAGGATGTTAGGGGGGCAAGAAGTGAATTGTGGCCCTGTTTGGGAATTGACTATTTTAGTTGATTTTTAATTTTTTTATGAAAAAATGTATTAAAAAAAAATAGAGAGGGTAGTGTATGTACCCCTAACCTTCCTTTTAGATTCCATTCTCAGCGTTAGTATTACAAAGTTGTCATATGTAACTTAAGTTATTCAAATTTTAATGAATAATTAGTGGCTTGTCTTAGAGTATTATGTGTCATTGTCTATATGATATTTCAAATTAATTACATAGCAAAAACTTTTATGAATTGAACATGCTAACTCATCTTTGTGAGGTAGTTAGGAGACAAATGATGACTACTTACTGTGTGTTGTGGTTTCTCATTGGCAAAGAGTGGATCATGTAGATAACGTAGTTACTCTGGAAGTATTTAATAATTTTTAGCTCTAGAGACTCATTCACCCAGCTAAACAGAGGTATTTGTATAATTTTTTTAAATTAAAAAGTTTAACTGTGTAATTTTATAGTTTAAGAGGACACTAATATCCAGTACTAATTCACGAGATGTTATTATAATTAACACTAAGACTTCGTTTGGTTTAGTTTTTAAAAAGAGTTTTGAGTTTTGAGATGTATTTTGAAAGATAAGTTGTTGAAAAGAGTTTTGAAAATTAAAAATTTGTTTAGTTATGTGGGATGATTTGTAGTTTTTATTTATTTTTTTGTAATTGAATAGATGGGTGTGATAGAAAATTTAATTGATTGATATATAGAATGTGAGAGAATGAAAGAGGAGAAAGGAGAGAGGAGAGAGAAAAATTAATTGATTTATTAACAAAAAAAGAGAAGCAGCGAGGAGAGAAAAAATAATTTTAAAAAGAATTTTGAAAATTAGTAAACCAAACATGTTTTTTGATTTTTTGATCCAAAACTTAATTTAAAAACAAAACCAAACGATACCTAAATCTTTTAGCATCCAATTATGTTGGGGTTTTTTTTAGATTAATAAATTACATAAAAGAAGTAGCTTTCTTTCTAAGTGGAATGCTTGGAAAGTGCTATTTTATAATTAATTTATTTATACAAAATACTTAATCAGAATAATATGATAGTTGTATTTTTGAAATAAAGGCCATTAAGGGAAAATTCTACTTTTGAGGTTTGTATCATATGCTCCACTTATAATTTTTGTGATATTATTATTTATTGTGTTGTTAGTTATAATTTGATTACGACTTGGTTATAACTCATCATTGTGTTAGTTATGACTTATTGTGATGTTGATTATGACATTATTTTAGATATGATTCAAAATGTCTTTGGTTATACCATATGTGGTATTTAGTTATGACTCTTTTTTTTATTTTATTTTAATTATGATTGAAAATAATCTAGTTATCACATTTTGTATAACCAAAATTACAAATGTCATAACTTGCATATAGACCCATCCAGTAAGTCTTTTGATTTTAATTAATGGGAAACACTATGGTACACACCAATCAAATGGTGTGTACCATATGCACCTTATAATTAAAGAAGAAAATGGTATAACTTCATAAGAAAATTGTATAACTTCATATTTTCTGAGTCATAACTAAAAAAAAAGAAATTTTGTCATAACTAAACACAATATACGGCATAACTAAAGAACTTATGAATCATAACTAAAGAAGAAAATGATATAATTAGGAGTGCATATGGTGCACTTCTTTTAAAGGTGTGTTTGTTAGAATTTCTCTAAATTAAGACTTAAATATGTCACATCATATCTATATAAATAAATATATATATATATATATGTATATATATATTCATATAAATTTTATGTTTATATGTGTTTGATAACCATTGAGTTGTTGTTGGAGACTTGGGAATGCTGTTGTGGCCCTTTGTGTGGGGCAATTTTGGGCCTATTTCGATTATTTGAATAATTTATATTGAAAAGTGCTAGGAATTTACTCTTATGGTCCCCAAATTTACTCCGAATATGTTTGTGTGGTAAAAATTGAATTGATGAAGTGTGGGGTTCATATATGAAATGAATTTGAGCCATTGATTTCTTTTTCTGGATAAATTCTGGGTTGATAAGGGTGGGTATGCAATATTGTTGATTTATATTGTAAGATTTGTTGAGTAAATCAACCATGAAAAAAAAATCATGGTTAATCATATATTTGTAATCACATAATAAGATTACATTTATTCTTTAAAATATAAACAATAAATAGAATTTTGATAATATAGTATCTATTTTTAGAAAACAATTATGGATGATGTGATTTTTGTTGGGATTTATATCACATCCCACAAACGCGAACGGAAGCACATTTACGCACACACAAAAGAGAAGAATAATCATACACAGATTTACGTGGTTCGACCTAAATTGCCTATATCCACGGCAGAAAGATTTTCCATTATGAATAAAATAGAAAATACATGTGAGATGTCCAAAACACTCAAAACTTACACCACTACCTGAACCTCATGCGCAAGGGTAGTTGAGCCCTTGCTCACCCGGTGTCCTCACGACATTCTCTCTCACCTTACATCTCTATTTTTGTCCCCTCACCTTAACCTCTCAATCTCTCTCAAAGAAACTATATACGCCACATGACTATTTATAATAGTCTATCAATGAGAATCTTAGTTCTATACAATTAGGTAATCAAATT